ACAGCTAGGTCCTTAAATAGTGAAAACCAACATTACTTTTCAGACAATAAAATAAAATGTAACATACACATATGTTTTATTCCTATGTGTAAACATGAATATGAACCCAAGCAAACAATGATGGCAATCATTTTCCTCTCTTAACCATGATGCCTTAGCATGTGCTTGTAGATGTGAGGAGAGATTATTTTTATTCTAGTAGCCTAAATGCACCCTTTTTGGTTAAGGCAGCAGCAGAAGCATTCTAACTTTGGTTTGTCTCTGAGCTATTTCTAGTCAGCTCCTGAGTAACTGCAGCCTCATGTCCAAAGTTCTTCTGCAACTGAGAGGAAGGACCACAGATCTTACACTAGCTTACACCCAACAGGAAAAAATACTTATCTCCCATGCACCAAAATAAGACCTAAATTAACAAGGTGCTTAATTTATCTGTGCTAAGTTACCACTTAAAAAATCCTCATTATATGTAGTCCTTAAAAGTGAGTAACTGAGGCTACACTGGGCAAGTTAGTAAACAGTGTCTGGGGTCTACAAAACTCAACTGACTGCAACAAGAAACCTAGCTAAAATATGTCACTGTCTTACTAAGGAGACAGGACTACATTGATTTCAAATATTTGTGCCCAGCTGCATTATTGGCAAAGGCTAGTAATCACCCTGGTGAGACTGACATCACCTGACTGGTGTCTGCCAAGGAGTGTGGAAACACTCAGAATAAGGAAAGGACATGATCAGTTAGAGAAGCCAAGATATGAAAGGAGCAAGAGCTGAGCTGAAGGCAACATGAAGGAATATGGAAAGGATGATTCCTTTTGAGTGGCAGGGATTGCAGCAATACCAGCAAGGAAATTTGGGTCTGGACAAGAGCTGCATTATGACTGAGAGAATGACATAGGAGCTCAAAGATTCAGGTGGTGGGCACAGGTGTGTGTGGGGGGAACAGCAGATCTGAACATACAGTACTTTGAAAAAAGAGCGGGAGGAACTAAAAGTAAGCAGGAGTTTATGCCACACCCAAAACATACAATTCAGCAGCCTGGAAATCTCTTCATCTGCTTTTGTTGCCATGCAGTATTAGTGGGCTTGACAGGACAAGAGGACATAACCTCAAGCTGTGCCAGGGAAGGTTCAGGTTGGATATAAGGAAAAATTTCTTCACTGAAAAGGTGGTCAAGCATTGGAATGGGCTGCCCAGGGAGGTGGTGGAGCCATCATCCCTGAAAGTGTTCAAGCAGTGACTAGACATGGCACTTCATGCTATGATCTAGTTGATACAGTGGTGATCAGTCAAAGCTTGGACTCCATGATCTTAGAGGTCTTTTCCAACCTAATTGATTCTATGATTCTATGATGTTGGTGAAATGAAGTCCCACTTTCTGAGATGTAATGAAAAAAGTTACTAAGTTCCTCATTTCACAGATGATTAATGCGACCACTTGCTGCAAAGGACAAGGAAAAGAACACCATGCCTTCTTAGGAAAAAGCCTGGCCTAAAGTGGTAGATTGAAAACTCAGCAATGAAGAGGGTATGTATTTATTCTGATCACTTGCAACCTCTGGTCCAGTGCACTGTCCTTGGAAATGCTGACTCATCTAGTGTAAGAATACTGCTGAGAACTAAACTAGGTACAACAAATAAAACACATATATTTAATCAGCATGACAAACCTTGTAAGTACAAGAGAAATATCCTATACTGTTTTATCACATACGTTAACATGCCACTTACCCTGCCTTTGCAACACTGATGGTTTGTTGCTCCATTGCCTCATGGATACTGGTTCTGTCATGTTCTTTGATACTGTTGAACTCATCAATGCAACAAAGGCCTCCATCTGCAAGCACCAGTGCTCCAGCTTCCAAATTCCACTCCCCAAAGTCCTTCACAGCAGTCACTGTCAAGCCTGAAGAATCAATTACTTTCGTCAGTCTTTTCCTTAAAATGCAGGAGTGCACTTGAGTGAAAGAAAGGGATCCAGCACACTGGCTCGTGCCATGGACAGAAGGCAGAGCAGCAGGGCAGCTCCACCACATGCCTCTACCATGTAACTCACTTTAGAGCTACTGGTGAGCAATCCCACTGGTGTTGCAGCAGGTTAGCCGGGAGCTGTGGAGCAGATTCTGTTTGATTGTGACTTGTTTTAGGATTTTGTTAAATGGACAAAAGAGATTAGGGTGTGAAGACTAGGTCTGCCAGATCATATTGAAAACTGGGGCAAATGCAAAGATTGCAAAATTATGCAATGGACCCATTCAGATCCTTCTCCCCCTCAACTACTAAAACAGACAAAATTTTGGAGCTGCAAAGTTTTGAAAAAAGAAATACATTTCAATCTCATACGGCACCTTGTCCCAGGAGACAGAGTCAAATTCTTCCCTTAAACTATGGCAGTTAAATTTCTTTGTGTTTCCTCTAAGCATTAAGCAAAAGTGAAAATCCAAAGATGCTCAAGGATGAAGTGGGGGAATAAAAATTAAAAAAAGTTTCCCAGTAAATCTACACATGATACAACATCGTGTGGATGGCAAGTCAGAAGGCCTGCACAACTGTGGAAACAGCCACACATTAGCAAGTACGTGCAGCTCCTTTCAATACTTCTATTCCCTATTTCCCAGCTTCTTCTCTATCTTTAGCCCTCATTTTTCACTCCAATGTTCTGCTCAAAATATCCTAGTAGTTGACAAGCTGCAACCAGCCTAAAACCTCCTGGAATTCTATGATAAAGCCTGCACAAGAATCCCCCTCCCCATCATTTGGTTCAGGGAAGAGAGGCTGCAGAGAGCTACTTGTTACTGCACAGCCCATCACAGTACCCATTTGTCCCCAGGTGGCCAGCAAAAGGTCACTAGAAATACATATGTTTCCTGAAACTAATATGTACTTCAGCTTGTTGCAAGGAATCTCCTCCAGTGTGTCCAAACTTTCTTATAGTTTCTGGGACTCTGCACCAAATAACCTGGGCAGTCAATCAGACAGCAGAATTATAAAAACACAAAATGACCACACCAGGAAGTACTGCAGCCTGGTTGTACATTTATTTCCAGGCAGAATCTTCACCTGTGGTAGGGGTACACAGCTTGCACCCCCCGAGCCCTGGGCACTCTCTGCTCTCTCCCCACGATGGTGTGAGGGATGTTGCTGATGCTACAGTGCTGTGTCACTCCCCTTCTCCCTGTGCTCTGTGCACGGCAGCCATGAGGTGGCCTCCCCCGCAGGGCTCCTGATGCCACACAAGATGGCCTCCTCCTCTGCTGCACAACATGGCATTCCTGCTGCACAGGGAAGGTGCATTGTCTCATGGGTTACTATGCCACCCAAGCCCTCCTTTACAAATAGAGGAAGGGGGTGGTTTCCTGACAGCATGGCTGTGCAGCAGGCATGCTCCATTCCCTGCACAACCCCTCTGTGGGTGGTCTCTGCAGCAGCAGTGGCACAGGCTCACGTGAAGCAGAACAGCCATGCAGACAGCCAGCCCATCCCACCTGGGGCACCCAGCATCCCACCAGCAACCCCCCTTTTACTCAGGGGGCTCCCCAGCCAGCCAAGTGCTGCCACACTGCCTCCTGGCACGCTGCTGTCAGCCAAGAGGTGGATGCCATGGGTGCTGGTCAGGGCAGTGCAGCTGCTCTGTGGGGTCAGACTTATGAACCTGATAGCCCTGCGCACCCCTGATTCGGGACCTGGGACCCCATCAACACCCAGCCCCAACACAACCAACACAGAAAAAGGAAAAAAACCCAAACAAACAAACCATAAACATAACAAAAACAAAGAGCCGAAACCACCACAACCCACAAGGGCCTCTTGGCACATGGGGGAGCCCCACAGGCAAAAAGGTTTAGTCTCTAAGTGGATCACTACTTTCATTCTTATTAAGGGATGTTGAAAGCTTCATGCACCTTCCTGTTTGATTAGATTAGTTGTGTGAATTTTGACAGTAAAATTGCTTGTTCTGGGAGATGTTGAGAACAATTTCATCACGAGTGTTGGACTGAGAGTAGCTTTTCACTCTTCTCAAGCAGCTACCATTGCAGTTGCTGTTTATATATTACTTCACATTGCACACTCATGCACATAAAAACACACCTAGGATTCTTTTAAACACTTGTGAATCTTCCTCTTTATAAGTAAGCTTAAATAAAACCTTAAAATGAGCTCTTGTTAAAGCAGCTTTTTGTCTTGTTCAGATACAGTGCTTCTTTAACTTCTTGCCTGAAGTGAATTGATAAAAGATTATGTTTTGTTCATGTTCTACCTGTGGTTTTAATTTAGTTATGATATTTTGCTCTACTCTTCTTCCAGCCTCCATTTTCAGCTTAGGGCACTTTTTCAAGGTGGGTACGGTCTTATGTTGTTCACAACTTGCAGAGGACGAACATTTTGAAAAAAAATTAATTTCTTCTCCAGTTCATATAAACCTTTATGGTTCACAACTTTAAATATAAGATAATACAGTGGCAAAAGAAAACATCTTCTGCATATGAATCCAAACTTTATAATTCCCTTAATAGCAACAAATCTGGTAGGCATGGCAAATACACTTCCATCAGCAACATGCCAGCAATTGAAATAAATTCACACCTTGGGGATTTAAATTTTTTTCTTTGTAAATAAAACTCTTACAGGGTGATAGCTTCCAAACTGATTGGAATCGCCTCGGTTGTGATGATCTGACTACCTAACGAGTAGACCTTTCCCCTTGCCTGGACTTTATTTTTCTTAATGCAAACAGAAAAAAAAAATGCTATTGATAAGCCCTACGTCCTTTTCCTGGAAATTAAAAAAAGAAGGAAAAAAAAAAGGCTAAAGATCTGTTGCCGCTCTCCCACACCCTCCCGCCCAGGCAGCGCCGGGATCAGCTCCCGCCCCGCCCCGGCCCCGCCCCGCCCTCGCGCCGCTGTGGCGGTTGCCGGCGGGCCGTTGCCGGCGCGCGCCGCGCGGGGGCGCTGCGGCGGGGGCGGCGCGGGGCGGGCGCGCGCGGGAGCCGCTCTGGCCCGCGCTCGGTGCCCGCCGTGCCCGCGGAGGGAGGGCCCTCGCCCGCAGAGCGGCCAATCCGGGCGGGCGCTGGCGGCGAGCAGGGGCAGAATGGGCTGTAGTTGAGTGAAATAGGGAAAGCGGCGAACAGTGTGGAGCGTTCCCGGTGTAAATAAAAGGGGGAGGAAGAAAAAAAAAAAAAAAAAAAGTTTGTGGAAGTCGCCGCCCTGCAGCCTCGCTCGGGCAGCGGCGCGGGGGCTTGTGCGGTGCGGGAGCCCGGCACGGAGGACTTTAGTGCGCGGCGTTAACACGCTCTGCCTATTGTTTGTGTTTTTTTCCAAAATATGGCAAAGGTTCAGGTGAACAATGTAGTGGTGTTGGATAATCCTTCTCCTTTCTACAATCCTTTCCAGTTCGAAATCACATTCGAGTGCATAGAGGACCTGTCTGAAGGTGAGTAGATTTTTTCTCCCCGATACGGATTTTGCAACCTGGGGCTCTGAGCTCGGGGCTTCTAAGGCTTAAACTTTGCACAGGCCTGCGCCTACAATTTGCCAGTCTCTCCTCCTTGGCCGCATCGCCGTGCCGAGCCGAGGGGATGTGCCGGCCGGGCGAGGGGATGTGCCGCTCCCGCCGAGCCCGGCGACGGGGAAAGTTGGCGGCGTCCGCCAACCCTGGGCGCCGAGCCGGGCCCGCCGCCTCTCCCCGCCATCGGCGAGGCGGCGAGCTGCCGCAAGTTGCGAGGAACTTGTTAGAGTGGAGGTAGCCATGTTGCCAGCTTTGTGTGTGCGTGGGGGGAGCGAGCGGGAGACAGGAGGGTTGAGCCGGGCTCGGCGGCCGCGCATCCCCGCGGGCACACGGGATGCTGCGCGTGCAGCCCCGGCCGTACTCGGAGCGCGGAAGACGCTCCGCGGGGATGCGCCTCGCTGGCCTCGTGCTCCAATTTTAATACTTAAAAAAAAAAAAAAA